AACTATTTGGCACAAATTTGCTTATTAAAACAAGGTTACATACATTACGTAAAAATAATGGACTTGATAAACACGCACCTAAACTCAACATACAAAATAAGTTCTTTTCGCACACATGGATGCAAATCCTCTCTCACTACATGCGACATATGCATCCAAAAGCAAGCTGTATGGATATACCTCGGCTGCTTTATCAATGAAACCCCACAAGCCTGAATATTTATAGCAATTTTATTTACAATGTTATATACTATTTATACAAAAAGAGAGAATCCTGTTTTTCTTTCAACAAATTACTTGTTTTCTGTTTTCTTTTATATTTTTCACTGAAGTGATGAACTAATTATATGAAAGGTAGAATATGCAAATTGTTTTAAGCTTAAATTTTAAAAAGGTGCCACTGCTTTATTTTTTGCAGAATCAGTTTCACTGCTGTTCTTTTTCACCTGATGCATGGGGAGCATGAAGTAATATTTACAGCAGGTGTTACATTGGCTGGAGCAGAATCATCCAATGATTATGAGAGCAGCACAGAATTATGTTTCAATCAGCATCCAAACTGTAACTTTAAACCTACCATTTTCGCTCATCTTGCATTAAGCTGTTCTCAGCTTTTAAAGTACTTTGAATTCCAGCCAAATTGCTGCTGTAAACTTGCTTTATCACTTACATGTTTGCTTTGGCAACTGTGCTTTGAATCAGTGAAGCTATTGAGTGGTTGTCCGGAACAAATGAAATGTGCATTTGATGTTCAGTGTATGTACATGACCACCTGTATGTACTATATGCACTAATTTATGCTTGCATATATTTTCCTGGGAATCTATATACATGATCACAGACTCTCGTACTTGTATACTTCTATAAAATGACTGACTGTAAATAGGTGGTCCCCAGTTTTGTTTTTGTTTGTGATTTTATTGTTTTATGTTTGTGATTTTTTGTGAATAAATTTGTATATATGTGAGATGGAGATTAGAGCAATACTTGTTAATCATTAAAATGACTGTTCATGACATCCTAGAATATATGCAAGTTGCATTATAAATAAACTGGTATCAACGTTGGAAAAAAATGCCAGTAGTTATATAGAATCTATGTTTTGATTGAGGAATTTGGGTCTTCTTGATTACAGCAGGAATCCCCACAGCAGAATGAAGACCTTGAAACTTGCCGTGACAGCTGGTCATGGGATACAGACACACATTCATTCAATAAATGTGAGCCAAACTAACCAGGTTAAGTTTACCTGTAGTTTGTTTGAGGATCCAGGGCAACTGAAAATAGTTTGTATGTAACGTCTGCATTTTGGAAACTATTCTGAATGCACACTGGATTATTGTGGCTTGTGATTCTCCGTAAGATTTTGAGCAATGAGTACGAGCATTTCCATCAACAGACCCTGCTCTCTTCTAAGCAAACCTATAGATTTTTTATGCATCACATTCGATCACATGTAGTCATTCCCACGTTAGTGATAGAAAGAATGCAGAACGAAGCATTTTTATATATACGTATAAAAAAACTGCACATTAATGTTTTATATGCAAAAAAACTTGTTTTGCATGTTTTATAAATAAATGGGCTTTGATTGCAATAGTTTTGCTTGCCAGTCTTTCTTTGTGACACTCACTCAAAGTTAAATTTAATCCACATAATGGATATTGTGTCCGGGGCAAATGTGATGTGATTTTGAAAGCACATAACTTGGGCTGCACAATAACCAATCATACATGTCACGATGTGTAACGTTAACACGCTGTCGGCCTGCATGTGAAATGCATACCAATCTCAAGCATCCCCTCTATCTGGACCTTAGATCGACAAAATGGTGTAGAAGGCAGCAAATACAAAGGAGAAAGAAATTTTTGGTGTTTACGTGATCATTCACACAGTACCATGTCCAAGTATGTAGAATGTTTAACAGCACTGCACTCACACTGATTTTATTGCATGACTGCCTTGACATTCACTCACTGAGCACTTCATTAGGAACATCTGTACACCTGTTTATTTATGCAGATATCTAATCAGCCAATCATGTGGAAGCAGCACAATGCAGAAAATCATGTAGATATGGGTTAGGAGCTGTAAATGTTTGCATCAAAGGTCAGAGGAGAATGGCCAGACTGGTGCAAGCTGACAGAAAGGCTATGGTAACTCAAATATGTCCTCTGTATAAATGGGGTGAGCAGAAAAGCATCTCAGAATGTACAAGGCGCCAATGGAAAAATCACAGCATGGATGTGCAGCTGATAAATGTGCAGAATTTGTGTGATGGAATCCTGTCAGCATGGAACAGAATCTCAATGGAATGATTCCTACATCTTGGGGAACGCAGGCCACGAAGTACAGAGCCTTGTTTTGAGAGCAAAGCGAGGCCCCGCTCAGTGTCAGTAGGCTGTGGTATTAGTATAATATAGCATAAAAGGTGTGGCATTCATTAAATGTATCCAACATAATGAACTCGATGTATCGCACATTTTGAAATTCCGCTTAGTGGATACTTATTTCGTAGTAGATACTCGTGCCGTCCATCCATCCGTTTAGGGGAGCCCCTTGTCATGAATTAAAGTTCAATTACTCGGATCACTATGGAGTGACAAATAAATAAACAAATAAATAAACAGATAAACGAATAAATAAATGTGGAAATTAATCACGAAATGAATGAATAAATACATGCACACACATTTTGGTCATAAAAATGGCACAAATAGCTCTACATTTATGTATTTATCGAGCAAGACATACAGCGTCATCCACAATTATTGGTACCCCCTTGTAAAGATTTGTAAAAAGGGTTAGTAATAGTCCACCTTTTGATGAAAAAAATGAGAAAAATTCAATCTTTCCTTAAAATGAATTTATTGAAAGAAAAACAAATCCTTTATCAAGAAATAATTTTCTCAACAAAAACACGTATCACAATTATTGTATTACGGGAGGGTCCCGCATGGAATGTTGTCCCATTTTAAAGCAATATGCCTCCCTTATTTCTTCAGATTTAAAGTGGTAAACTCTAATACAGATTGGCAGCTTGATTAACAAAGCCATGCATCTCCAGTTAGCCAATCCCAAAGATTGGCTAACTGGAAAAAAAAAAAGAAGAAAAAGATGTAATTTCATTCATGGGTCAAAAGGAGCTGCTGGTTAGGGGACATGATGAGAGTGAAAATTCTGACAACAAAAGAAAAATTTGGAAAGATAGTGTCCTATGATGGTGTTAAGTGGTTCTGTACAACCACTCATTCTGCTAATACGTGTGGCGGGAGATTGTTGGCTGTGTTCTTAATTATACACCTGTCTCAGCAATAGCTTTCGCTAAATTAAGCAATTCCTCTAACTAATGGTGTCCGCATCCTTTACAGCGTATAACATATACTGACAGATATTACATTTGGTAACACATAAAGGTCTGAGGTAAGACCAGAAGCTGCAAAAACAAATTCTCAAGGACCATGAAAATTAAGGTTTTCCCGAAGCTGCTGTAAACAAAGTATGTAATGTGATTTTACCAATAACAACCAATAATGATTATGCATTATTTGAGACCCACTAACCTGGTCATTTATTCATAGCTGTTATCACAGTGACTAAATACTGCACATCCACAATCCATTTATATACTGACTCATGTAATGAAATGTCAGTTTCACGTTATCTAAAGTGGGAATAAAACAGCTTTAATAAGAAAATACAGACTTCTTCAGTGTCTATTCCTTTATTTGTGTCTATCGAATCTGTTCCCATATTTCTATCAATCTAACATCTTTTCTGTTATTTCTACCTTATCTCTGCCTTTATTTATTTATCTATCTACCTACCTAACCTCTATGCCTCTTTATTTCTACCTAAGCACTATTCCTTTATTTCTATCAATCTGTGCCTTTATTTCTATCAACCTACCTAATCACTAACCTTTTATTTCTATCAATCTATGTATTTATCTATCTAATCTCTATGCCTTTATTTCTATCAATCTATGCATGTATTTATTTATCTAATCTCTATGCCTTTATTTCTACCTAATCATTATCCCTTTAATTATATCAATCTATATCATCTCTATGCCTATATTACTACCTAATTACAATCCCTTTATTTCTAATTAGCAATCTATCTATCTCTATGCCTTTATTTCTACCTAATCAGTATCCATTTATTTCTATCAGTCTATGCATCTATGTAACTATCATCAATCTACCTATGTCTTTATTTCTACCTAATTACTATCCCTTTATTTCTATCTATCAATCTTTCTATTTAATTTCTATGCCTATATTTCTACATAATCACTATCCATTTATTTCTGTCGATGAATCTATATATGTATCGATCTATCTGATCTTTATGCCTTTATTTCTACCTAATCACTATCCTTTTATTTCTACCAGTCTATGTATCTATCTATTGATCTAATCTCTTTGGCTTCATTTATACCAAAAAACTATCCTTTTATTTCTATCTAATCTCTATGCCTTAATTTCCACCTACTATCCATTTATTTCTGTCTATCAGTCTATGAATCTATCATCTATCTACCTCATCTCTATGTCTTTATTTCTACCTAATTCATAGCGCTTTATTTCTATCAATCTAATCTCTATGCCTATATTTCTACATAATCACTATCCCTTTATTTGTCAATTTATACATGTATCGACCTATCTGATTTCTATGCCTTTATTTCTATCTAATTACTATCCATTTATTTCAATCAGTCTATCTATGTGTCTATCGATCTAATCTCTTTGCCTTTTCTACTTAATCACTATCCCTTTATTTCTATCTATCTAATCTCTATTCCTTTATTTGTTTCCTATGTTGACATCCAGTCTACCCAGTCGATGGTGACATCCAGTCCAGCTACATCCACAGCATGGGAAATGCTGTAAATAGACAAACCATCCTTATAAACACACATGCACATGTATGGACAATAGTCTGTGTGGATCCTGTGCAGGTCAGTGGAAGATCTTCCAGGGGATGTCCCTAAAATGCCAGGCAGGGGTGATGCAGGACTTGTGGAGGACTGTGCCACAGTGGAGTCACCACCTCCTGCAGGTACATACCAAAACCTGCCTGGGCTCAAGCACGTAATATGCTACAGTTTCTCAAAGGAATACTGTCAGAACAGTCTGTATGCACTGGTGCAGACCTTCACAGGATAGTCGATGAGTTCCTTAGGGCACGCTGCCGTTATACATCATTATAATACACTGTGCTATGCAGCAAAGTATCTAGAGGGATTTACTAGAGGGAAACAATTTCAAGGTGGTAGCGGTGAAGCCAGCAAGAGTAGATCAACTCCCCACAGCACCTGCGGTCACCTCATTTGTGTTTTTGTCCCGTGATTCCTGTGACCCTTAAACAGACGGACCTGAGACAGGCACAGGGCAGCATACACCTGCACTGCTGAGCGTAGGGACAGCTGGAGGAAGTCAAGTGAGTGAGAGGGAAAGAGAGAGTGACATTAGTGTTACTAAGGCTTAGTAAGAGAAGAGAGTAAGAGAGACTGGAGATGCGCAGAGTGCTGGAGCAACCTTAGAGGTAGATGAAGTTCAGGGTGAGTTTCCCCTTCAGGGAGAGGCAGCGGTTTCTGAGACGCCGAAAGCACAGCCAACCGGACACCGATATCAGCTCACTGGTGTTCTCAGCCACCTGGGCTCCAGCGCCACCTCTGGTAGGTTAGATATATGCGCACACAGGGCCCTCAGACAGGTTCTGTCCCGCGACGAGACGTCACTCGCGAGTACTGTAACATTCCCCCCTGCTCTTACGTATGTTATACTCGGGCAGGGAGAATTGTCATGCTTGAGTAGCTGCTCAAATGTGATTTGAGCTACGATGCTAAATAGTCCTGTGACCTAGAAGACATTTGTTTAGAATGTATATTCAGAGGTCGTCCTTCCTGCTTTCCTTGTAGGTCACTATATCAGCGACAACTTCAGTCGTGCAGAGAAGGGCTGGCTGTCCTTCAGTGACCTGACCGTAAAAAGGTTGGATGAGGGACAGGTGCTGAGAAAGAGGGAGAGCAGTGCGTACCTGCTGTTTTACACCCAGCAGGTAAATAGAGAAACACTGAATACACTCTGCATCGAGATTAGATAGATTGATAGATCTAAAGGGATAGTCAGGTAGAGCTACAGGCATAGAGATTAGATAGATACATAGATTGATAGAAATAATGGCATAGAGATTAGATAGAAATAAAGGAATGGTGATTAGATAGAAATAAAGGCATAGAGATTAGGTTGACAGATAAAAAGATTGATAGAAATAAAGGGATAGTGATTAGGTAGAAATAAAGGCATAGAGGATGGATAGATACGTAGATAGATACATAGATAGAAATACAGGCTTAGAGATTAGGTCGAAATAACGGAATAGACATTAGATTGATAGAAATAACAGCACCGATATTTGATAGATACAAAGGAATTGACACTGAAGAAGTTTTTTCTTATTAAAGCTGTTTTATTCCCACTTTAGATAATGTGACATTGTAGGTGTTACTTGTGGTTGGAAAAGGCAGCCTAATTTAACACTCCTGATACAAATGATCAGACCTTTCAATAGCATCTCAGTATTCGAGCCTACTTCGCTTCAACATAGATGACTCCAGGACTGAGATGCTACCGAACTGTCTGATAATCTGTTTGCACCCTCCGCAGGTTGATAGATTTCCAGCAGCAGGGTTGGGCAGCCCTGCAATAGAACATCTTTGGGTTGTGGTCCAATCAGAGATTCGCAGGATGTGCGGTTCACATATCTAGAGATTGCATGACACAGGCATGTCAACATGGACCCAAAGTTCCCAAGAATGTTTCCAACGTCTTGATGAATCCATGCCATGAAGTATTGAGAGTATTATTTTTAGAGCAAAGGCTGTACTCGGTGTTAGAATACTCCCTAATGAAGTGTGTAGTTCTGAGCGTGAATACCTTTCCCCTCTGGTCCCCCTATTCAATTGTTTTTTGTCTTAAAGATATCACAGAATTTTGGTCCACCAAGAAACATGAAGCCTGATGCAGGTATTTGTTATTTTCCTCCTCCCAATGAGTAAACATTGTTTTTACAAATGATTTTATTTAATTTCTCACATCTAAAGGAACAAACTCTACACAAATCACAAAAATATGAAAGCTTCTGTTATTGTAATAGCCTATTTTGAAGTTAAGGGATGATAAATCTCGTTGACCAGGATAAGTGGTTAGATGAATGTATGGATAATTCAGGCAGTCTCCAGGTTATGAATGAGATCCATTCCCTAAGTTTGCTGTGTTTAAGTCGAATCTATAGGTAAGTCTGAAAAATAAGATAGTAATAAAAGTAACTATGCTGTACCACAAATTGATGAACTGCTGAAGGTGTGCAGTGTTTTCACAAGCATCACAAAGTTGTGCACTCAAACGTAGTCCGTTTGTTATTACAAGCCATTACATTAAGTTCAAATTTTTTAATGTGATTGGTAAGTACGAGTTGTCCATAAGTCAGACGTTCTATCTGGGGACTGCCTGTAAATACTGAAGCATAAATGTGAGCATGTGAAACGAAAGACATCAAAATGCATACATTTTCTTAAACATGAGAAATGAAACTACAAACAAAATATGTGTAAAAATGCTAGTTTTAAGAAAGTAGTAAGTGGTGGGCCTGGTCCGTTTGACAAGAACACAACATGTCTGTCTTTCTTTCAGGCAAACTTTGCGTGATGCTGCCACCCATTGGTGCACAAAGATAATATTACCAGCTAAACATTTAACAGTTTTTAAGATATTCTAACCTACACGCTGAAATAGATATTACAAATGTTCACTTAGGCTACGTTCACAGTGCCATGCTGAAGTGACTCAAATCTGATTTTTTGCCTTAATGTGACACAGATCTGATCTTTTTAGGCCTGTGTGGACACGCAAATCTGATCTTTTCAAATCAGATTTGTGTCACTTTCATATGTGGTACTAAATCTGATACGTATCCGATTCGCGGCCATGCGACCTGAATGTGACGCTCAGATCAGAATTCATGTGGCTTTTTGCTTATATGCATACGCTGACATCATCAGCCTGCACCGGCAGCGCGGGAAGGTAAAAATGGGGGAGAGCTGCGATAACATACAGTGGAAGGATGGAGAAGTTGGGGATTTAATTGACATTTGGGGAAATTAATCTGTTCAAGTTAAACTGGAAGGAACCTATCATAATAGAATAGTAATTGAAATAATTGCCAAAGAAATGGCACAGCGCGGACACGCGCTTCATATTACAGTCAGATACAGGTCACTTGTAGTTATGAATGTGAACCGTCTAGACAAATCCGATCTGAGCAAAAAATCGGAATTGAACGATGTGGCTGGCAGTGTGAACGTAGCCCTAATGTTATTACAAAGGCAAACCATTTTCGCATAACATGGACAAATTACTTACTTGTAGAGATTTACAGCCTCCAGAAATTACAGGACCTGACCTACAGAAATTGATGAAAGATTAACAAACACTGCAGTGGTCACTGAATAATACAGCACTTTTAATAAAAGTCCAAACAGCTAGACAGAAACATGGGATGACACTACTAAGATCTATGTGTAATTAACCTAAATCAGACATTGCAGAGAAAAACAAACTCATTCCTGATTTAATACACAATTTCAATTTTTAAATGATTCTTTTCATGCAAATGTTAATTCGCATAAAATATGGATCCTTCTGCGTGTTATAATTGAATAATTGAAAAACAATGTACAACATTATCCGGGGAACATAAAAAAAAATACCTCTGAACTAGTGAACTAAACAGTGTTATCTCTACAACAAGCTGCCACCCAGAGCAGACATACTAATGATTCCGCATTCTGATGTGACAGAAATATGAAATTCCATTAGGAAATGACTGAAAGAACAGGCTGTGTACTGTGATTTTGAAATCAACAACTGTTGTTCAATACAATATTACAACATACCACAGTGACAATTCTGAAAAAAATTCAAGGTACGTAAAATGTGTAAAATATAACTCTATGGCATAGCTACAAATATATATTTATATACAGGGTCTGTTGCTGACAGGACAAAGACCATATAAAAATGTAATCTGGAATCAAGCATACAAATGTATGTTAACCTTGTAAATGTAATATGGAATTGAACATATAATGTTAACATTGTTGGAATGCTATTCAGTCACAAGTAAATCACATGACTGTCATACCCTACAGGCTACACGTTCATGATTCAATAAAGAAATTTCAAGTATTGTGTGATCCCAGAAACCTTGTAGCAGATAATAATCATAAAACAAAATCATATATGGTATTGGCCAGTAAAATTATGACTGAGGATGTTTAAATCATATTTTCCTGGGTTTGAGGTTTTTCACAGTTTAATGTTGTGAGTATTGTTATACAGCTTATTTCTATTTCGTATATACGAAGAATGTTACACTTCAACACTGATTTGACTACATGCAAAGTATGAGACCTGTGTACCCTCCCTAATCAGCTGGATGTCCCAGCCTCAGGGTGACAAGCGCTGGTACACCCAGCCACCCTCTGCTTGGTGCTGCATCTCCCCAAGGACTCCTCCGTTGTTTGGCCGCAGGAAGACGATGCGGTCGTGCAGTCGGTTGGTCTGGCCCTGCCAGAACTCGATCATGTGGGGTTTGACAATGTAGCCGCCCCTGAAGGGGGAAAGGTGACATGATGTTTGGATGGGGGTAAAATGCAAGCATGACTCTTCGCATCTGGATGGGATTTCATTCCACATACGTACAATATGCAATATACGTGCTAACTATATCAAGCTGGAGAATCTTCAAAACGGAATGGAGTTGAGTGTGATGTAAATGCCAATAACTACCACTGATAAGGCATTTCTGCCTGGTCATGCAGCACGGATGGACTCACCAGTAGTCTGGCATGGGGACCTGTGTGTTTTTGTACTTCTCCTCCAGCTCTGTATTCTTCTGTCTCAGGTACTGTGGATATAAGGCACAGGTCAGTCCTGCAATTCTGACAATGCAGAGCAGTGGGTTGTGGTCAGGAAAGTGACAGAGCAAAGCGTCCTGTGCTGATTTAATGTTATGCCAGGGCAAGCCATTTGGGAGCAAAGGGACGAGAGCTAGCGGTGCACGATGTATCGGTTAACGTATCAGTCAGAGGTGCACGATGTATCGGTTAACGTATCAGCCAGCGGTGCACGATGTATCGGTTAACGTATCAGCCAGCGGTGCACGATGTATCGGTTAACGTATCAGCCAGCGGTGCACGATGTATCGGTTAACGTATCAGCCAGAGGTGCACGATGTATCGGTTAACGCATCAGCCAGCGGTGCACGATGTATCGGTTAACATATCAGCCAGAGGTGCACGATGTATCGGTTAATGTATCAGCCAGAGGTGCACGATGTATCGGTTAACGTATCAGCCAGAGGTGCACGATGTATCGGTTTATGTATCAGCCAGCGGTGTACGATGTATCGGTTAACGTATCAGCCAGAGGTGCACGATGTATCGGATGTATTTATTGGTCTCAGTGATATTAGACAATAATATATCAGTTATTGGTATTAGACTTGGGCAGTGTCTACATTTTCAAACCGTCATACTTTCTAGACATTTCAACCGGGTATGTGGTATATGACGGTATTTAGTGCTGTAGTTCTCGAGACCGTGCAGCACAAACTGGAACCGCCTCTGTGACGACATAACTTTGCCCTTATTGGCTGAAGATTTTAGTCACACGCATGACGTTTGTATCCCAGGAAGTTCCAATGCGTTATCTGCTATTTCTCCCGAAAAGC